AAGCCTCTGTCCTGTCAGAGATGGCATGCTTACCGTCCCTGGGCCGAGCTCCAGACCCCCTGCACAGAGCCTCCTTATTCACAGGAAGTCTGCAGAACCTGTCAGGGACGCAGGCCAGACAGAAGGCTTGGGTTGTTATACCTCACACTCAGCTTATCTGCCAGTCCTGTTGGCTTTGCTACCCATCCATCTGCCATGGCTTCTCACCACACTTCTCCGTCCTACTCCAAGCGGCCCAGACTCCGGGCCTCCACAGCCTTTAGCCCTGCCCTCCCAACCTGCAGCATGAACTGAGCGAAAGACCTGGCAGATTAGGACTCTGCCTGTGTATCCTACGCACAGACAGCAAGCCCGGCCTGCTGTGGTGGCCCTGCCACGCCCTCCCACTGCACCCATCTCTGTTCCTTGACATTCTTACTGTCTTTGCCCACCGATTCCAGCTTTGGCTGCAGCACATGCTCCCACAGTGACTGTGCAAAGCCTCCCCCCACCTCCCCGCCCCCACCTCCTCAGCTCCACAGGTGACATACTTACCAAAGCTCTCGGGGGATTGTCTGATCCAGGCCTGCGATCCTGGGGTCACCCATGAGCACCCACAAAGCAGCTCCTACCTCTAACTTCCAGGACTCTACCTGCCCTCCCCTGACATACTGTCCTATGGGGGAGGGGGAGAAACATTGTTTTTCTCCTTCATTCCAATGCCCCCAGGGCCTAGTGCAGGGCCAGTGAGCCATCACTGCACTCAAAGAATGGATGCCCATGTCTTCATCCCCAACGCCCAGAGAACAGACACCTCCGTTCCCTGCAGATCACAGAGCACCTCCAGATCACGGAGGGTCCTGACTGCACAGGGCACATGCACAAGGCCCCAGATTCCACGGTTTTATGTAAATTATGTAAGTCCTCTCATGGAGCTGGGCCTTGGTTTCCTCTGCCAGACAATGAAATTCTACCTAAGATCTATCAAGAAAAAAAGAAAACTTTTAAAGCCTTCTATATTTTACAAAGATGGACAGACTGACAGATAAGGAGAAGTGTCCTTGTGCTGCTGAGGGCCATAGCGGTTGCAGATAGTCTGCATTTCACTCAGGGGAACAATGGGGGGACAGGAACACAGGGAGCTTCTATACAAGCTGGCCAGTGCTGTAATGGGAGGCTGGACCTGTCCTCATAGAGCAGTATACCAGACATTATAGGCACCAGCAGGTAGAACAGTCAATGCTAAGAGAAAGGACCGGAAGAGGCAGGGAAAGGACAGAACCTGAATAAAGCCAGCTTCTAAAATGCTTTGTGTGTGGCCCCCAATTCATGACATCCACACTAACCATCCAGTCTTAGGAAGTGGCTGCTGGGGTGAACAGCTGAGCAGCTCAGTTGTTGCAAGGGGAGTGTGCAAAAGGAAAGTAAGATTCCTTCCAAGCAGGTCAGCAAACCTATCCTGTAAAGAATCCAACTGTAAATATTTTATAGATGTTGTGGCTATGTTCGTAGCCATGAATAACTCAGAAATGAGCAAGTGTTGCTGGCAGCTAAAAACACTTTTTAATGGACCGTGAAATTTGACTGCTACAAAACTTCAATGATGGGCAACATCATTTTTCTTCTGATTTTTTTTCCTCCCAGTGGTTTGTAAACATAAAAGCACTCTTAGCTCAAGACACTCAAAACCCAGCAGTCAGCAGGCCCACAGCCGTGGTTTGCCCAGACCTGCTCTGTGCTGGAAGCGCCTTACAACCAGACTCACTGTTGCAAACAACACTGCTCTCCTCTGACCGCAACTCTGAGACTAAGGGTGCATCCAGGGTGACCCCTTATTGCCTTCTTTATGAAAACCAGCAACGCTTAGGACGTACCCAACCCATCATGGTGCTCCTGCCTTCTGAAACAGAATGGGAGGCAGGAGGAAAGCCAGGGCAGCTTCCTAAAAATGGAGGGCAGGGCTCCATGTTAGACAGCCTGGGAGATGACTTCAGAAACGCCTCTTGTTCTCATGTACCACGTGGATGCCCCAGCCCCCTCCTTGGGGAGCGGGAATCCATATGAGGCATGGAGGAACTCACGTGATCTCATTCACCTGTCTACGCCCCTTTCCTGGAACAGCTCAGAATGTTCTCCTGTGATTCCCTTGTAGATGACCTGCATGTTGAGTTTGAATCAAGGGTGATGGAGTGCACCTCCAAAATAGGGCACCCAGCATCTGAAGAAGCAATAGAAGCGGAAAGCCCTTCTTAGCCTCCTCCTCACCCCTCCCTGGCCCCTTGGAGCCCCCACTGCAAGGAGCGGGTCCTGTGTCCAGCAGAAAGCCACCCCCACCTTTCCCCTGCTGAAGGCCTCCAGACCACATAAAGTTTCTATTAGAAGATGCATGCTCCCTTGCTCACTAGCCTACCTTCTGGGGACAGGCACCCGGGCATGAATCTCACGGTGCCCCCCATAATGAGGAGTCAAGGGGCGCTCAGCTGCTAGGAAGACTTCAGTGGAGAACGGGGAGGACATTGCTAAGACTTCTTCCAAACAGGCCATGAAGATCTTCCATCTCTTCCCACAAATGAAGCTTGTGCTTTTGGGGCGGGGGTGGGAGTGGGGGGGGCGCGTGATTCTGGCCTGAATGCATCATGAACCTGTCACCATGATGGCAGCCCCTGACATCAGGATTCACAAATCCGCTGAGTTAGCAGAAAGGACCACAATCCCCGAGTAAGTAGCTGATAATTTACTCAGCTCTTGCTGTCTGCTGGGCTAGAATAGTGGTGGTTGTTGTTTTGTTGTTTTAAGCACATCTACCTAAAAGAGAGGGGTCATCTGGTGATCTTCCAGAAAATACTTCCCTAAAGCAGCCAGCATTTAGCTGAAACTTACCTGAACTTCTGCCACAAAACCAGTTTTGGCACCACAAGGATATGAAATATGTCTAATAATGGTCCAAGGTAAAACCAAGAGGAGTGAGTGCCCTCGACTTGGAATCATTTATTTATAACAAGAGTGTGTGGACCTACCCATCTGACAAAGTGAGGCACTTTTCCACTTATCCCTGAGTGCCCCTGCACTGATTTCCTAAATGAACCTTTGTTTTGGCTGAATCCAGACTCTCTGAAGAACTATAATGCAATCTGAATACCAATAATAAAACCTCCACTCCCCCTCCTTTTTTTTTTACAGGAACTTCCGTGTTTCCTAATTAAAAGTGTTTTGGGGGGAGGGGAATAAGCAAATCCTAAATACATGAATATTCCCCAAGGAAACAAGACAAAAACTAATGGTTGATATGTAATTAAGTTCATATAATATTGAGATCATACATGAGGAAAACCCCACCCAGAAAAGCAAATACATTTTTCCCTCCTCACACCGTCCTGTCTCTGAGTACCATTAGAAAAGCTGCCATTCTCACAAAGCTCACCCCGTGCTGTGACCCACATAGCTGCAAGTGTCCTGTAGCCCTGTGGAAAGCCTGAGCTCTGTGGAGAATGAAGGACCATCCCTTAGCACAAATACTATCTAGAAAGAAAAGCCAAGCGGCTTGATTGACTGGAGGAGTAAAAGTAGGTAAAGAAAATGGAAGCGCCCTGAAAAGGGAGGCCAAGCCACAAAGATGTTGGAGAAACAGGCCCTGTCTCTGGCAAGGAGGAGAACAGGTTTGTCTTGTTTAGAGCTACATTCAACACAGTTGTAGGTTGCTGTTGTTTCTTTAATACCACAATACAAGCTAGAATTCCACCACTGCTTAACGACAGAATCTTCTCATGTCTGTTCAGTTACTTGCCCCAGACATTTTCATCTTCAGATCGCGTGTTATTATTTAGCCAAGTAATTGCCAAAACTATCGACTGTGTATCAATAACCCAAGGGGGAATGGGGCGCCCACCAGGGGTTGGATGAGGAAGGGTGGGAGTCCCAGGTGAGGCTGAGTCAAGGGCTGGGGCTGAGAGAGAGGCGGCCACACTGCTGCAGGACACAGGGTCACCAGACCCTGCCTCCGGGGTCACCCTGGGAGCTCCCCATGTGACCTTGGGTGGGCTGAGATGGGCTGCTTCAAGACTTGATCAAAGGAGGGGACTGGGCTGCATGCCCTCTGAGATTCTTTCCAGGACCAAATGCAGGTTCCACCTTTACCCCAGTCTAGGCCTGGGAAAAACCAGCCCTCACGAGCCTGATCTAACCGGGGTGCAGCGTGAGGGGGATGGACAGCACGTGTCCTGCGCGTCTGAGGCTGCCCGAGGGGGACCTGGAAGTTGCCTGGCTGGAGTTAAAATAACTGCTAAGCCTGGGTGCCCCGCGGGCCGGGTCGGGAGGGGTGCAGTCCCCTTCCTCCCCTCCTCCCACCTTCCCTGTCCCCTCCAGGTCTCCCGCAGGGCCCAGGGCTGTCCTGGAACAACCTTTCATGCACAAAGGGCCGAGGCATGCGTGCAGCAGGGGCCCGGGGTGGGCCGGGAGGGAGGGAGGGAAGAGTGGCCGTCGTGGCTCCGCGGCCTCGGTCCTCTGGGATGGCGGGGTCAAGAGGAAGGTGAGCTCCCGAGAGCGCCGGCGACTCCAGGACGTGCCCGACCCACCCGACCATGTGGCTTGGGGCGTCCCCGAAAAACAGTGCGGGGTCACTGCGGCCTTTTGGGGGTTCGCGCCCCCCTAGGGCGTCACAGCGGGCACCCGAGTCTACGCGGAAGGGGCCGGGAAGGGCAGGGGGCGGCGGGCCGGACGCGGGTTGGAGAGGGGTTGCCGGGCGCGGGGCCGGGCACGGGTTGGAGAGGGGTCGCGGAGCGTGGGGCCGGGCACGGGTTGGAGAGGGACGCGGAGCCGGGACGCGGGGCTAGGCGCGGGTTGGAGAGGGGTCGCCGGAGCGCGGGGTCGGGCGCAGGTTGGAGAGGGGCGCGGAGCCAGGGCGCGGGGCTTGGCGGGGGTTGGAGAGGTGTCGCCGGAGTCAGGAGCGGGGCCGGGTGCGGTTTGGAGAGGGGTCGCCTGGGCCAGGCACGGGTTGGAGAGGGGTCGCCGGGCGCGGGGCCTACCCGTGGTGGAGAGCACGGTGCTGGCGAAGAAGAGCGCGGAGGTGAAGTCCCAGTTCCAGCTGCCCGAGGCGTTGCCCAGCACGGACACGCCGTAATTGCTGGCCTCCAGCACACGGCCCAGGAAGCGCTCGAGCTGCGGCTCGGCCAGGCACTGGTGCTCCTCCAGGAATCGCCGCTTCAGCCGGCGCAGCTCCTGGCGCAGCAGGTCCTCGTAGGGCAGCTCCACCGAGGAGAAAACCACGGCGCCGAACACCAGGTACAGCAGGTAACCGAGCACCAGCAGGCCGAAGCACCAGGCCGAGCGGTGCCGCTCCACCAGGCGCACGCACGAGCTGCCGGCCAGAGACTGCAGCATCTTCCCGGCCGC